ATTGGACAACTGGAGTTATTTTTTTGTACATTTAACATTTACTGTGTTCTTTTTACTGAAAAGTAACAAAAGATATTAATAGCTAAAATAGGTTATAATTTCATGACATATACAGTTAGGAACTAAAATGATGCAGTCAGCAAAATGCTTGAAACATCAAACAACATGTTTTTACAGTAAAGTTCTGACAACCACAGCTGTGTTTTTTTTTTTTACCATAATTGTATAGATAAACATTATAGATAGATAGACAGACAGACACAGATAGATAGATAGATAGATAGATAGATAGATAGATAGATAGATAGATAGACAGATGCAAGGCAGAAAGAATGGTGAGTCTGATCATTAGTTTCAGCCCGTAACGCTCTCCATGGTGCTGAAAACAGCTCCACACTGTCTATGAATGTGGAGAACTCTATCCCATACAGGGTCATTAGCTCGACTCCCACCTGTCTCACTGTTTTATTTATCCCATGTACTGGATGTATTTTGCTTTGGCATATCATGTGTAACATGTTAGAGCAAAACAATTCAGATGTTACAGTCCCAAGTCACTACCTAACTACAAAAGCATGTCATTCCTAATCCTAATATATATATATTAAACAAATCACGTTTTTTGGAAATATTGTTCAAGTTCATAATCAGCCTATCAGTTTTTCCTGTGTCCCCAATGCCACTTTCTTGTTAGTCTTGTAAAATCCCTTTAACTAACAAAAGCAATGACATCATCCTTCAGGAAGTGACATAGTTGGTTTATCTCATTCAAAAACATTCCAATCGTTTTATTAAAATAATATATATTTTTTAAATATGTTTAAATTAAACACTAAATCAAAGTCAACACCATGTAAATAAATAAAGAAACACCTTAATATTTCTTAATAAATTGCCAGTTTCTCATGTTAGGAGGAGACTTGGCAAAAATGGCGACATCTGTTCAGTAGTGAAATTGGGTTCCATTGTGCTACTTTGTGCAAATAATCAAGCTATAATTAATTAACATTAAGTGCTTGAGCAAGTCCAAAAGCTAATTTCTCAAGTAAAAGGCTGGTGTACCTTAGAAGTATGTACTTACAACACAAACATATCCATTATTTTTGTAGCTACGGAGGTCAGCCAATACTGCAACATATGAATGACTCATTATGTCTGCTGGAAGTCCATTTCTACTGTTAATATAGATGTTTTTATGCGATGCGACTCTCAATGCACTTATTATCCCCCACACCACCCCACACATCCCTCTCGCTCAAGAGCACAATGGGGATAGTTCATGGATTAAATCCTACAACCTTTCAGGTCTTTAACCACTAGGCTACGCCACCCCTGAAACAGATCAGAACAGTTTGTGTAAAGCCCTCCAACATCAGAGCAGGGATGAGAGAAGGTGAGATGGGATTAGATGTTCAACACACACTGAACGAGATTAACATCGCTTTGAACCCTGTGATGTAACATGATTGACCTTTCTGCCATAACGTACAAAGGACGTGACTGCTTAACAATCACATACTGTACGATATATACAACTTATTAAGGAGGTCATTTTGAGAATCCAGTAATCAAAGCTGAAGTGTGTACATTTTCTGATGCCAGAATACAGATGGCAATATGCAGAGGAAAATTATAAATTTTCCTTTAAAAAAAAAGTCTTAAAAAAATTGTATCTGTGGCACTTTCAAAACATTGAAATAATTGGGCATCTCAACTCAGCAACACTATTTCAACCAATGGAGTGATTTGGGGGGGCGACACTATCTGTTTGCCTGACCAATGGCAGACAGGGGGAGTGTTCTGGAAACTTGTTTAAAAAGAAAATTACAGACTTCAGGTATAAATACATTTTTAAATGGTTGACATTTCTGTATTTAAAAAAAAGTTATTTAAAAAAAACGGCCATAATTCATGAGGAGTGTTATTAATGTATTATTAAAAGTTATTTTTGTTAATTGAAATTTAAGTATTAGACGAAAAAACTTTAAGTGAAAATTAGAAATGGTGCCTTGGCAACTAACCGAAAAAAAAAATAAGTTGAAGTATTATAATTACGAAAACAAAAAATGTAAATAAAGCAAAACATAAATAATTAAAAACAAATAACAATGAAGTACATAAAATGACTAAAACTAAAACTTACATGAAAACTTCAATTTAAAAAATGTTCACAAAAATTAGAAATGTCCCCTTGGAAACTGAAATAAAAAGTTAAAGTTGAAGTACTTTCAACTTTATGAAAAAAAATAAGCAAAACAAATCATAAACTACAAACCAGATTCCAAAAAAGTTGGGACACTGTACAAATTGTGAATAAAAACAGAATGCAATGATGTGGAAGTTTCAAATTTCAATATTTTATTCAGAATACAACATAGATGACATATCAAATGTTTAAACTGAGAAAATGTATCATTTTAAGGGAAAAATAAGTTGATTTTAAATTTCATGGCATCAACACATCTCAAAAAAGTTGGGACAAGGCCATGTTTACCACTGTGTGGCATCCCCTCTTCTTTTTATAACAGTCTGCAAACGTCTGGGGACTGAGGAGACAAGTTGCTCAAGTTTAAGAATAGGAATGTTGTCCCATTCTTGTCTAATACAGGCTTCTAGTTGCTCAAATGTCTTAGGTCTTCTTTGTCGCATTTTCCTCTTTATGATGCGCCAAATGTTTTCTACGGGTGAAAGATCTGGACTGCAGGCTGGCCATTTCAGTACCCGGATCCTCCTTCTACGCAGCCATGATGTTGTAATTGATGCAGTATGTGGTCTGGCATTGTCATGTTGGAAAATGCAAGGTCTTCCCTGAAAGAGACGACGTCTGGATGGGAGCATATGTTGTTCTAGAACTTGGATATACCTTTCAGCATTGATGGTGCCTTTCCAGATGTGTAAGCTGCCCATGCCACACGCACTCATGCAACCCCATACCATCAGAGATGCAGGCTTCTGAACGGAGCGCTGATAACAACTTGGGTTGTCCTTGTCCTCTATAGTCCGGATGACATGGCGTCCCAGTTTTCCAAAAAGAACTTCAAATTTTGATTCGTCTGACCACAGAACAGTTTTCCACTTTGCCACAGTCCATTTTAAATGAGCCTTGGCCCAGAGAAAACGCCTGCGCTTCTGGATCATGTTTAGATATGGCTTCTTTTTTGACCTATAGAGTTTTAGCCGGCAACGGCGAATGGCACGGTGGATTGTGTTCACCGACAATGTTTTCTGGAAGTATTCCTGAGCCCATGTTGTGATTTCCATTACAGTAGCATTCCTGTATGTGATGCAGTGCCGTCTAAGGGCCCGAAGATCACGGGCATCCAGTATGGTTTTCCGGCCTTGACCCTTACGCACAGAGATTGTTCCAGATTCTCTGAATCTTTGGATGATATTATGCACTGTAGATGATGATAACTTCAAACTCTTTGCAATTTTTCTCTGAGAAACTCCTTTCTGATATTGCTCCACTATTTTTCGCCGCAGCATTGGGGGAATTGGTGATCCTCTGCCCATCTTGACTTCTGAGAGACACTGCCACGCTGAGAGGCTCTTTTTATACCCAATTGACATAATAAGTTGCAAATTGGTCCTCCAGCTGTTCCTTATATGTACATTTAACTTTTCCGGCCTCTTATTGCTACCTGTCCCAACTTTTTTGGAATGTGTAGCTCTCATGAAATCAAAAATGAGCCAATATCTGGCATGACATTTCAAAATGTCTCACTTTCAACATTTGATATGTTATCTATATTCTATTGGGAATAAAATATAAGTTTATGAGATTTGTAAATTATTCCATTCCATTTTTACTCACAATTTGTACAGTGTCCCAACTTTTTTGGAATTGGGTTTGTAAATAAAAATCTCAAAGCATGTAACAATACGACTAAAACTTAAACAAAAAAAAACAAATGAAAGTTAGAAATGTCTTAAAAAAAGTTTCTAAAATTACTTAAATGTAAATAAAAATAAAGCAAACAAAAACTAATAAAAATCCCAAAAGCATGTAAAAATTTGACTAAAACAAACTAAAATTTACATGAAAACAAACTTAAAAAACAAATGAAAATTAGAAATGTTG